GCAGGCACAGCAAGTATTTGGAAAAGCCAACAGAATTGACGGGAACTGACTACAAAGGTAGGGAGGATATACTTCAGTTTTACAAGGCACTGGTAAGACCACTTTTGGAGTAGTGTGCAGAGTATTTATTTTACGATTAATGTAAATGCATTGGAGGCAAATCAGGGAGGGTTTACTAGACTAATACCTTGAATAAAAGTCTTGTCTAATGAGGAAAGGTTCGACAGACTCGGCTTGTATCAGTTGGAGTTTAGAAGCACAAGAGGGGACTTAATTGAAACGTATATGATCCTGAGGGGTCTTTACAAGCTAGATGTGAAGAAGAGTTTTCCTCTTATGGAAGAATCTAGAACTAGGGGTTACAGTTTAAAAATCAGGTAATGTTTTTTCTCTCAGAGGGTTGAGAGGTTTTGGAACTTTTTTTTCTGAAGATGGGGTGGAAGCAGAGCCCTCAGACTTTTTAAGACAGTGGTAGATAGATTCTTGTTATGCAAGAGCGTGAAATGTTATTAGGATAGGATTGTGGGTTTGAGGTTATAATTAGATTAGCCATGAACCTATTGAATGACAGAGAAAGCTAAAAGGACTGAATGGCCTACAGCTGCTCCTAATTTGTATGGTTGTAATATGGTTTCTTGCTGAGTGGTTACTCAATCTTTCCTCCACATACTCAAGAGAAAAATCTTTAGAAATGGGTCTCACAATCCATATGACAACAGATGGCAGCAATATGGAGTGTCACTTTTCTTACTGTAAAACCTACAGACACTGTAACAAATTCAATGACTTGATGAGGAAGGTAACAAATTCTATTCCTTTCTTTCTTGGGCAGCTTGAACACCAACACATCATTTAATCTCTAAATTCATCAATTGCATCCAAATATTCATGCACATGTACAATCACCTTACAACGTAGTTAAGGTTTTCAAGAACAACAACTTTTAATTATGTATTACATCTAATCTAATAAAGTGTCTCAAGACTCTTCACATGAGTGTTAGCAAACAAAATTTGACACCGAGTCATGTATTAGAGAAAATGTCCAAACTTTTGGTTGGGGATGGGTTCTAAGAAGCATTTCAAAACAGGAAAAAGTAGAGAACCAATGATATTTAGAAAGGGAAGACCAGAGTTTAAAGATTTGATAGCTGAAGGTGCGTCAGCCAATTTTGAAGCAACGCTTATCTGGGATGTTTGTGCAGGAGGCAATTATAGAGATAGAGCATAGCAAAATTTTCAAGAGATTTGAAAACAAGAATGAGACTTTAACTTCAAGTTTTTGATGAACTGGGAGACAAATTACATCTGTAAGAAGGGTATGATAAATGAGGAGGGCTTTACGCAAACTTGAAACACTCGTCCCCAGGATGCCTTAAGTGCACACAAGGTTGAACTAGAGATGCCGAGTTTAACGTTATCAAAGGTCTCACTGAGGATTTTGGCAGCAGATAATCTGAGGTCACAAGACTAAGGCAATATTATGAAGCTGGAAGTGAGTGATCTTTGTAATGGTGTGAATATGATGGCAGAAGATCATCTTAGGTTCAAGTGTCATAAAAGGGACAATATTATCAAAGGCTGCTAACAGCTCAAGACGGATCATGAGTAGTAGATTACATTTGTCACAGCCACATAGGATATCTTTTCTGACTTAGGAAGAACCTTTAGTTCTGTGGCATGGCTCAAAACCTTTGTGTAAATATTCAAACATAGAGTTTCAAGAAAAATGCATCGATATAGGAGGATACAATATATTCAGGGACATTGGAAATGGAACAATACTTTGCAAGATTGAGAGGACAGGGTTTTCTCTTGAGCAATAACATGATGTTGTCTAATATGATGAAGAGGGAGACTAACTCCATAGTTTTGACAAATGCACTTCAATCTCTCCAAATGAGATTACTGCATGCAGAATATTTACAATTCTTCATCCACTTTGAAAAAGTACTATCAGCTGACCTGTTACATTAGCTGTCTGATATCCCTCCAATGCTTTCTTTCTCCTGAAGCATTTAATCATGTTATCAGAGAAAATTGCATGCAGTTTCCATAATTTTTAAATCATGAATTCCACCATCCTTGTCTTTAATACAATAAGTAAATTACATATAATAGATTTTTGTCTATATCATCAGTTTAAAATGGGTTGTAAGATAAAATGTCAGTCATGATTCAGCTGGTAGCACTCTTGCCTCTTATGCAGAGGGTCATGGGTTTGAGTCCCACTCTGGAAACCTAAACATGTAATCTAAACAGAAAATTCCAGTTTCATGCAATGTTAGAGTGACTGCATTTCAAAATTCCTTTGTCAGCTATGGAATATACGGAGATCATGAACATCACTATGGACATGCAGATTCTTTCTTCCTTTCTCCTTCAATTAACTGAACTTGCATAAAAATATATCATAAAATAATAATGACAAACTGAAATGCTGTATCATTTCTATTTCTATGGATAAAACCATGCATTAAACAGATTAATCCATCGCAAATTGCTGCTCTCCTTTTCTGAGCCTTTTCATACCTTCAAAATTAATTTCACACTTGCACAACTTTGAAGTTACTTGCATTTTGGGACATTAAGAACATAGAAAATAGCAGCAGAAGCAGGCTAGTGCTTGTTTCATCATTCAATAAGAACAAGGTTCATCTGCTACCTCAGCTCCTCTTTCCTGTTAAATCCCATACCCCTTTATTTAGTTACAAATGTAATTATTTTATTTCTAATTTTTAATTATTATAGACTAATTGATAATCCATTGCCAAAATTGATTGCCAAATGTGCATCTCATTTTGGAGTTTCAGTGGTGTCATAAACCACGAGAGTGAAACTCAGGCAGTTCATGACTTAAATCACAAAACAAAATAATGATTGGTTTCGGTAGGCCATTTATTTGTACTTAACAACTGACATTGCCAGTGTTCACCTGATGTACTCCCACAAAAGATCTTTGGTTATGGTATACTGTGAACCCTAAATTATAAATTATTCTTGAATGACACTCCATCCCAATTCTTTTCCAAATAGCAAATATTGATTTACTATTGCCTGTTTTGATATAGTAAAGGTGAATCTATATTCATTTGTTTATTTTCATTTCTTCATTTCAGCTCAAGGGCATTCAATCTTGATATAATTGAAATATCTCAACCCAGACTAGTTACTGAAAGTGGAAGCTTTGTGTAAAGCTTCCTGCTGTTTTCTCAAGCTGACATGATATGATTTTTAGGATGTGTTATATATTTACCCCACATAAGAGATGGACTTAGGGAGCAGTTTAATTTCATTTTAAATTTGTACTCAGGATGCCAATGGGTTCACTCTGCACAATTGATGTGAGTTGTTATCCTCCCTGAAGAATAAAGAGTAAAATGATCACAAAGTAATCACTGTAGTTTATGGAGCAGCAATTTGCTGTTGATTACCAGAAAATAAGATCATAATATAGTGGAATTAAGCTTCCAGTGTGTATTAGATCAGATTATTATCTTTCAACTACCACAATTAGAATGCTGGAAATGAAGTTCAGGTTGTTTTACTAATGATAGCAATAGCAAAATGTAGCAATACTCCCAATGAGAAATCTTATATACTTTTTTACATTGTAATTTTATCTGTTGGTGTGAATAACAGAAAAAAGCAGTAAAAAGAATTATTGGCTGAGATCTTAAGATGTCTAATAATAACATTAATTTTTTTATGGTGCTTGCAGTTCAACAGAAATGTTAAAACAAAGAGTCATAACAGCATAGAAAGTGATGAGATAACCTATTGAGTTCATCCGACTCTCTAATGGTTGGTCCCATTAACCTACTGTATCCCTGTAGCCTGCAAGTTTACTCCCCTCAACAATCTCACTGAACTTCACTTAGAAACCACTGATTGTTTCTGCTTCCCCTATGAGTTCCAGATCACTCAAATAAGAAGGCAATTTCAACCCTCAAAAACAAGTGGTTTGCGGTTGGATGAAGCATAAAAATATTAACAATCTCAAAATGAATCCCAATACACTTTCTTCTGAGTTATATGAAGCCAGGAGATGGGATGATCAGCCAAGTTTCTGAAAGGAGACAGGTTAGCACTTAAGTAGAATAATGAAGCTGGAAGCTTAACTTGTAACCTGTCTTGCAAGTTTAACACTGGGCAGCTCAGGCAAGGAGAGGCATGGACATGGTTGGATAAATTTTATCTGAGAGCATTTTTTTTTAACCAGGAGCAGCAGGATTTTCTCCTGCAAGTCTACAAATTCAGAAAATATGTAAGTATGCACTCTGTCGAGCATTAACACTTTTTCTTTCTGAACAAACATGACTGTTTTATTCCCAAATCTGCAATACTGGAAACTCAAGAGTGTAAATGAAAACTTTATTTTTGTCTCTGAAAATCCAGCAATGAACATATGGTAATATTCTCAAGGCATTTGCTAGCCCACTCCTCTATTAACAGATGAAGTTGGATGGATTCCTTTTGATGAATGTTTACGGAGAATCTGCTGAACATCCAACAAAGTTACGGTGGTGGAGTAGGAGAGAGCCTGCAGTTTAGCCTATTTAAATTAGAATCAGAATTTATTGTGTAATTTTTTTGTCTGTCAAGTGAGCAATATTACAAGTTACTGCATGGAACCCCATAAGGTCAACTGCCAACCATGTGGTCCAGGATACATGGAAGTGACTTGAAGAAGGGAAGTAGGTAAGTCAGAAGATGGGAAATGATTAGTAAAACTAGAAAAATGCATTTCTTTGGTGTTTCTCCTATTTTGATACCATAATGTTGATAGAATTTTGGTGGACACCTCTTTGCTGATGTTGTGGAGGCATTGCATAAAAGCCTTAAGGAAATCTACCCTTCCACAGGGCAATCTTTCATCTTCACAGCTACTTTCATTTGCCAAATAAGCATTGTTATCAACTGTTCAATATCCCTTAAATTCTACAATAGTCTTAAATATTATATTGATACAGTGTGTCCAGCATGGTACTCAGACCTTACCTGCATATACATTAATTATTATGCTTACACAGCTTTCCATTCCATCTGATGCTGTGAAAGTTCGAATATATTTTCCTGTATCATTAAACTGAATAGATAGAAGTCGTAAAAAAAAGCCATCATCTTCAATGTTCACCCTCTGTTTGAATGCACTAAAGACAGTTTCAGAAGCTGGTCCTTTGTTTTTGACATAAGAAGAAATGCGACGGTTCTCTGAGTTTGAAGAAAATGTCCATTCAACTGAACACATTTCACAATATGTGTAGTTTGGATTCAGGAAGATGCTTTCTCCAAGAGTTGCATTTCTGCTCGACTCATCCAAACATGCAAGAACAGCAAGTAAACCTGGATTAAATATAAAGTAATTGTTACGAATCACTAATTGCAAAATGTGCAAATTTAATCACTTCCACTTCTTTAATGTTTGTTGATGCACAGTGAGCAGTATCCATAATTTGTAATCTCAGAGAGATTATGGGAGGTAGGTGGATTGAGAAATCTTCATTTTCGTACAGTACTCCATGTTCTTCTGAGTTTTATATTTGCTGTTTGGCAGGGTGAACGGCTCTACATTTAATCTATACATTATTTGACCTGGAAGCAATGAATGATTTGAAATTTTAACAATAAACAAAGCAAAGGTTTTGTTACTCATAGAGGTTTATATATTCCCCCGAGAGATAATCTTTGTGTCTGACTCCTCAGTGATAAAACATTTAAACATTAATTTATTAGCTCTATTTGAAATCAGCTTGACAAAAAAAAGCAAAAATATTAGGAATGACATTTTACTTTGATAATAGACTGTACTTAAAACAGTGGGTGGTAGATTGGCCAGGGTGAGGCAGCCCATCTGATTATCCTTGTCATTTTGCATTATTGCAGGAGATGTTCTATTAAGGCACTGTCCACTCTTTTCACATGGAATTAAAATATCCTGTGGCATAGTTGCAAAGAAGAACAAGAAAGTTCCCCTCACTTTCCTTATCAATCAACACAACTGAAAACAGATAATGGGTCTTTTCACCATTGTAGTTAGTGGCAACTTGTGGTGAACAAATGTCTCCTGTATTTGTTCATTTTTCTTAAATAGTCTCTTAAGAAAAAGACAGCACAGTGGATGACTTGCTTCTAGTGCATTTCAACAAGTTTTGAGATGGCTGATAAATCCAGAATGTGGGCAGTTGCTTTTGCCACATGGGGGACAAATGTGTTATGTCTCATGGTCATTATATCAGAATACATTTAAAAGACATGCTCATGATAGCATCATTTTACCATGGCATGTGACCTGAGGGTATATCTCATAATCTATTTTACTTTAGGATCCAGAGAAACATGACATGCTACAAAAAGCATGCTCCTCTGTTTTGATCTAATAGTTTAATTTTAGCCCTGTGAATGTAAAGTTTGTACATAATAGTTAGTTGTAATACATGTTCATTTGAGACATGAATACAATGATATTCATTCCCAGTTTCTCATGTCACCAGAGATATCATGAACTTTGTCACATCAGGCAAAACATCCTGTTGGGGACAAATTCAAATCATGCTTAGCAAAAGTAACTATATCTAGCTGAAAGAATACAATAAGCAGATATATGGAAAACAAATTGAAATCCAGTTGAGCAACAACTTTGTACAACAAAGAGTTCAAAAATTCAGCAGTATCAGTTCTATGAGAACAGTCTGTTGTACAGGTCTGATGATAAAGCATTAAGATAACTTATTTATGATTCAAGTGTAAAAGGCTGAAATTTAAATGCAGTCAGAACTAAAGTCCAAAAACCTGTATTAAAACACTGTGATAGTCTTTTTCTATGAAAAAAGACACTAATCTGATTTTTTTTCAAAAAATAGCATTTAAGTAACTCTGAAACAACAGATCTAAAGTGATTCTAGAAGAAAATATAGCTTAAAATCACTTAACATTAAGAAGAATTACCTGTGTCCAGACCATGGTTGGTTCTGTGATTTTCCAACTCAGTGCAAAATTTTAATGGCATGAATGCCACTTCAGTCGGAAACCTACTATTAAAAGCTTGCATTTTTTAAACAATGATTCTGCAATTTGTAAATTGCAGCAACTGGGAGAAAATATCAGAAAGCAGAAGGAAAAGGACCAGACAATACCTGGAAGGCATTCAAAGACCGTGTAAAAGTAAAAATTAACATCAGGATTAACAAACTCCAACTAAATCTCATATAGAGAGAAGCTCCAAAAGTCTGTTAACCAGTTTACCAGCAGTGCATGCGTGTGACTTTTCCAAAAATGAACTGTCAGAGAGGCTCCCTGAGTCAATCATTATCTCCAATTACATTATCTTTTCCCATAATATGAATACTTTTTGCAATAAATTGTTACAACAACAGGCTCCATTGTGAATAGTGGTGTGAGGCTGGAAAAGCACAGCAGGTCAGACAGCATCCAATAAGTAGGTAAGTCAACGTTTCATGCTGAAAGCCTTCATCAGAAATATTGACTTACTTGCTCCTTGGATGTTGTCTGACCTCCTGTGCTTTTCCAGCCTTACACCTATAGAATCTGGTTTCCAACATCTACAGTCCTTATTGTCTCCATGTGAATAGTCTTGCATTCTGATTGTAAACATTTCGATGAAGGCTAGTGGACTATAATCAGCATAAAATAGCATTTCCTTGCTCACATGTCAGAATTAGATTTCAAAGTTCTAAAGAGCTAATAACAATCACAAAACCTATTTTTCCACGGTACAGTATTTTTTTCTGATACTTTAATTTCTTAGAGAACTACCTCACTGACTTCTCTACTCCCGACTGATCACCCTGTAACAAAACTGCACCTACTCCCAAGTCACTAGCATCAACTGCTATTTTCAAAGGTCTGGAAAAATCATGGGTGGCCAACACTTTTCTTATGAATGCTCCCGTCTTCTCAAATGTTGTTTGGCATTCTGCTGACCTGACCAATTTTGCTTGTTTCTTAACAATTTTTTAATGGTACAGCCATTATACCGAAACTTCACACACAATCCAATAAAATCCACACATTCCTATAAACCTTATGATTTCTCATTTAGTTTTAAAAACAGGAAGTTCTATTAAAGACTTCACTTTTGCTGTCCCTGGTAACACTTATCCAATCATATATCCAAGTAAACAAGGTGCAGGGCTGGATGAACACAGCAGGCCAAGCAGCATCATAGGAGCAGAGAGGCTGACGTTTCGGGCCTAGACCCTTCATCAGAAAAGGGGGAGGGGAAGGGGGTTCCGAAATAAATAGGGAGAGAGTGGGAGGCGGATAGAAGAGGGATAGAGGAGAGGATAGGTGGAGAGGAAACAAACAGGTCGAAGAGGCGAGGATGGAGCCAGTAAAGGTGAGTGTAGGTAGGGAGTTAGGAAGGGGATAGGTCCAGCGAGGACGGACAGGTCAAGGGGGCGGGATGAGGTTGGTCGGTAGGAGATGGAGGTGCGGCTCGAGGTGGGAGGAGGGGATAGGTGGGAGGAAGAACAGGTTAGGGAGGCAGGGACGAGCTGGACTGGTTTTGGGATGCGGTAGGGGGAGGGGAGATTTTGAAACTTGTGAAATCCACATTGATACCATTGGGCTGCAGGGTTCCCAAGCGGAATATGAGTTGCTGTTCCTGCAACCTTCGGGTGGCATCGTTGTGGCACTGCAGGAGGCCCAGGATGGACATGTCGTCTGAGGAATGGGAGGGGGAGTTGAAATGGTTCGCGACTGGGAGGTGCAGTTGTTT